TAGGTACAAAGTGCCGTGTGCACTCCAGGATGGCGTCATTGCACGTAAAAAAAATTCGGACGTTTTCCTTCAGTCAAAACACATAGGAGTGTCCCTTCTGGTCCGGTATCTATTCTGTGCTAATAATTTGTGACTTGTTCCCTTTTTATATACAAAAGTGTTGTGATCTGTTGGCTCGCGTCATTTGAAATTTAATTAAACGTCACATCAATGACGTCATTTCAAACGTAGTGAAGTGATTCTAATTAATGTGCGCAATTCTAATTAATATTCTAATTATATATTTCAATATATAATCTCATATGCCTGGAAGACAGTGGTGTAGCCTGAGCCCTAGCTGAAGGCCTGAGACTGGCTAGGGGGTCCAGACATGCTTCCCCTGCAAAAATGTTGAAATGTTGAGAATTCTAAAGATTATAAGTATACATCAAAGACTTGATTTTTCCCAGACATTTCTCCATAAACAAAAACAATTATATTTTATCGCCATGCAAACATTCAAAGAACTTATGTATTTAATTGTTAAAAATGTAAACTAAAGGCATTCATATATATTAAGACATCTTCATTATCCATTAGGAAGATTCCGAAACAATTGTCCTTTCTGGACGTAATTGCGAACATGGCTTCAAATGGATTTGGTAAGCTTTCTCTTGACGCAAGCATTTACATGAAACAGGACACATGACAATTAAATCTGTACAAACGTTTTCTTGTATAGCATCATTTTTTCAAATAAAGACTGTGTTTTTTCACCTTATCTCACCATCGCTGTTGCTCATGACTGGCGTTCGAGTACTTAGTCTTGGATATATTCTGGGGCAAGCAAGCAGAAAGGTAGGATGATTTTAAAAGTTCCTAAGGCTGGAAACTCTAGTGGGAAAGGTCTGGGCGCATAAAAGACCTTAAATAACTTTTTAAAATCAAAAGTAATGTACGCTTGCGGACAATTTTCCGCAAACCGACAAAATGTTACTGGTTTTTCATAGATAACATTTCTAGCACATTGCCCTATTTAAAACCGTCTGCTAAATAAGACGGCCAAAACAGTTATGGCCGGTAACATGTTTCCAACTTGAGCTCACGGCACGATTTTGACACAATTTTTAACAAGCAAATGTTTCAAATGAAAAAGCTTTGCGCCCCGAGGCACTACCAATCTTCTGATGTCAAATTTTTCGTGGAATTTAGTTCCAAGAACGATCAAACGATGGCGACAACGAAGAGGAGGATTCGGACGCCGAAAACGATTCTGAGAATTTTGACACCAACAACGTGTTCTTTTCGCGTGTCATTGTCATATTCGTTTTCACGGAACTTTTGTTACGTGCCATGTACACTGCCACGTCAGCGAGCGCCGCGTTATCGTATCCTAGCAACGACGCATTTGATTCTCTCCAGGAGTTCGAAGCGTGGTGGAAGGAGACGGATGTCGCCAAGAGTTTCTTGGATTTTAGAATTTGGCGGATTGCTCAGCTTTGTTTACTTGTTGTTGTTTATGTTTATAAACTTTTGTTTCGAGATGACGATGAGGATGATAGTTGGTAAACGAAGTTGGAGTATACGTTTATGCTCTGTCAGTTGGGCTACTAAAATTCAATCGCTGGCTGAGGTGAATTCCAGTATTTAAGACGTGTTCCTAAGGGAGCACAACCACTGCCCTCAAAGGCAGTAGGAACTTATGAGAGTCTACACACTTAAATATCTCACAACTTGTCAACAAGATGTGTTCGCAACAGCATTGTAGTAAGCTGGTCAACAACTTGTAACAATGCTGTTATTTATGCTTCAAAGTAATTGTCACTCTCAACTTGTTGACAAATGGACGACTTGCGCTTTAGACTAAATTTTAATCTAAGTAAGAACAACGAAAAGCGTACAAAGTTTGGTTTCGAAATGTTGTAAAATACGGAAAATATAGCCCTTCAAAGTTGGCGAATTTGTATACTTTTGTATTACGTGCGTGAATTGGTATATCACATACTCGAACCGACCAGACCGCGTAGCTCAGTTGGCAGAGCATTGGGCTAGTATTCCAAAGGTCGTAGGTTCGATTCCCACCGTGGTCAGGCATATTTTTCAAGCTTGCCCGGTGTGGATATACACTCAGAGTAACATCACAGGCATAATGGTAACTAAATTAGTTACCAATTTCCGCACGTAATAGAAATGTATACAAATTTGCCAACTTCGCAGGGCTATATTTTCCGTATTTTACAACATTTCGCAACCAAACTTTGCAGTTTTTCTAATTTTGATAACTTCTTTCCAAAAGTATCCTTTGTTATTCCAAGATTAAAATTTGTTCTAAAGCGCAAGTCGTCCATTGTTGAATTACAGGACGATAACAAGTTGTTGGAACAAACTTGGCAACAAGTCTGTTGAGCTCAACAACCTTGTAGCAAGTTGTCAACAACAGGTCATGTTATGCAAATTTTTAATAATTTGCATCGTTCAAACTTTCAGAAATGTATTCAGTCTTTAATCTATTTAGATGCAAGTTTATCAGCATAGCATGACCAGTTGCCATGGCTAGCTTCCCCATTGATTAATTAAGCTAAATACACACTAATTAATTGCTACAACCACAAGTAATATATGTACATCAACTCGTATGAAAAACCTGACATTATAGGATCAAGTACTAATTTTGATGATAGTTAATTTTGACATTAATCAGCGTAAAAAGTTTCATTATAGGCTAGAATAGTTAAAACTTTAAAATTACTTTTGTCTGAAAAAAATTCGTCTGATCTTATGAAAGCTAGTATTACCATCAAAATTGATTATATATTTAGCTTATTTTAGTTCCTCAACAGATAATTTACGCTAGACTTGTATAATTTGTATTATTAGTTTGGCCTATAGGTATAAATTATTAAACATGGCAATTATTTTCCTGCAGCGCTATAAAAAAAATACGGATTACGGACCCTAATTTGAAAATTAGCCGAACTTTTCATTACATGACATTATAAATGTTTCATTGCATACAAACTTAAGACAGTTTGGATGTATCGTTTCAGGAGAAGATATGTTAACGAAATATTGATATTTGTCTAGTTTTGAAGCATTTTTGTTTCGTAGCAAGTGTTGTTTGTTCAGATGTTGGTTCATAAACGCAATAATAATAAAAACATGAGAAAAGCGATTCTGTGTTCCCGCTGAGGGCCTGAGTTTTGGTTGCTTGTTTCATGCCTATGATGTATAACTTTTGTACATGAACGTCGTATAATATCTATGGACGATTTGGAAACGTTAACTTCAAGACAACATTAAGAAATAAATCGTTTGAAATACTTGTCTACATTTGGTAAATAATTTTCAGTGAACTCGGGAAGAGCATTTGAAAATCAGGAAAGTTGGAAACACCATTGGCAACGGGTGAGTGCAACTGTGTCTGTGCAGACAACGTTTCAATCTAGAAGTCACCGTGAAAGTTACGGGTTGGGATAAAGCACGGATCCGGAAGTACGGACACACGGAGTTGCGGACGCGGAAAACGTGATAAAACGCGGACAAAGGAATAAAACGCGTACGAAAGATAAGCTGCCGAAAGCACTCTCGGCTGTTGGTTAGACTTGGACCTACGCCACATTTGTATAGCTTTCCAGTTTGTGCGACAAATCTACAAGAATCATCCAAAGCTAAACATTCAAATACCTCAAATGGCTAACAACACCACTGCTCCATCAACAAACACATTCGCACAAGATTGGCTAACATGGAGCCTGATCACAAATCCCTTATTCATAATCATACATCTAGCCTCTGCCGTAACCAACCTTATCTTACTTACAACGATGTTAAAAGACCCGCTCAAATGCTTTCGGTCGATTTCATCCTATCTCCTGTTCAATCTTATTTCAAACGGGTTTCTCCCTTTGGTGTCCTACTGTTTATATATAGTTACCCTAGCGACTGATACAGTCTATTTGGGAATATGGACTCTTATATTTGGATTTAATAACACTATCCTAGCGGTCTTGTTGCTCTCCGTCGATCGCTACATTCTGGTCAGCCGGCCTATTATGTACTCTGTTATTATAACAAAATCTAGAGTAATATATGCAGTACTTTTCTCATGGATTTCAAGCTTGGTTTTGGCATTTGGTATTGTAGCACGAGTCAAGAATATTGTGTCGAAAATTGCTGTTTTTGCCTTACTGCCATTCATTTTAATGATGGTTCTCGCGATTATTGTGATTGATATTAAAACATGGAGAAGTATTTCCAGAGCACAAATCGAACTTCAAAGATTGGGGAGTGAATGTGGATCGGACACAAACAGCGCGAGTTATCAAGCAGAGAAGAAAAGAGTTCAGACCGAAAAACGTTTTGCAAAAGTCGTTGTGTTTTTACTGTTGAATGTGGTGTTGTTTATTTTGCCCCAAACTTTGGTGATTGGATCTAGAATGGTTAACGTGTGGTGCAATTCGTGTGTCAAAGGTTTGCAGCAGGAAAAAGCGAGTATATTTCAGGTTTATTACTTTCCTTTGTTTTACTTGACAACGCCATTGTTGTATTTGGTCTTTATACCGAAGTATCGCAAGTCGCTTTCCGTGTTGGTGGATTGTTTAAAGACATCACGGCGCCGGGAGATTCCGCGATAGAGGCTTAAAACTTGGTTTCTATATTTTGTCGTGACAGTGATTTTGTCGTGACAGTGATTTTGTCGTGACAGTGATTCAGTGACCGATTACATCAACTTACTTATATTACTTACGATTACTTATATTACCTACTAAGCTTAGGGACTGGTCATAAAGTAACTGCTAGGGTGGGCTGGAGGTAAATCACAAATTTTGCCAATACGTTCGATGACCCATCTTAGGATGTAGATAAAAATTTCAAAGCCCATCTAATCTTACCAAATTTATTTCATGACCCACCCACCCAATCTAAATTGGGAAAATACACTTTTATAATAAAAAAAAAAACTTGCAGGTATGAACATTGTAAATATACACGGCACTGTATTGACATACAAGCTTGACCAACACATTCATCACCAATTACGATACTGAGCTGCTCTCCAGTTGGTTGTATGTGCTGTGATTCGACCACTTCTTGTTGTTGTATAAACAAAGTACTGGCTTCAACAGCATCATTTGCATTTGTTAATTTGGATAGTTTTGTTTACTTTTATTATTATCTTTATTTTTTGAAGTAGACATGCATGGGTTTTTGTTTGGTGGCCCAATCGTGGACATACAAAAAAATTGGCGGCCCATCAAAACTGCCCAAAGATTTTCCATGGCCCATCCCAAATCACTCCAGCCCACCCTAGCAGTTACTTTATGACCTGTCCCTTAGACTATTTATTTTTACAACAATTGTGATATTACTTTCCTAACCATGTCTAACCCACCCTGTCAACTTTCCCTGTGGGAGGAAACCGGAGCGCCCGGAGAAAACCCACGATTTTCGGCCGAGCGTTGGCTGACTCTTTTCACATGAGTCCGTAGCGAGAATTAAACCCACGTTCTCAGAGACGAAAGACGCTTGTTCTGCACAAATTCCACTCCATATCCAAACGGACGCAGCAAGTATTTGAACCAGTTCGTATGGTCACAATTCGTTTGTATTTTATCGGTGTTGTTAAAGTACATAACGTTCATAGGATAGAATGAATATAAAACTAACCTTAAGTTAAAACTCAAAATTAATTTTTAGATATTTTAGATATGAAATTTCATATTTGTAGTTAGATCCTGAAAAGCCCAATTGGGAGTATCAAATATTGTATAATAATAATAATAATAATAATAATAATAATAATAATATTTTTGCTACAGGATTATCATGCACTCACCATTTGCATTATAGACTAAATTTTGATCTGGACAAAAATTCCATCGCAGATTGAAAGAGCATCACAAAATTAGTAATATTCCAAAGTTTCGTTGCAAAATGTTGTAAAATGCGGATAATATAGCCTTGCGAAGTTTGCCGTTTTTCACTCATTTTGTATTACAAACGGGAAATTGACAGCCCAATCGGGTGTTGGGGCATCAATTTCCCGTTTGTAATACAAATTGACTGAAAATTGCAAATTTCGCAATGCTATATTATCCGCATTTTACAACATTTCGCAACGAAACTTTGGAATACTACTAATTTTGTGATGTTCTTTCAAGCTGTGATGAAATTTTTGTCTAGATCAAAATTTAGTCTATAATGCAAATGGTCCATTGTTGAATTGCAGGACGATAACAAGTTGTTGAGCTCGACGATATTGTAGCAAGTTGTCATCAACAAGTCATGCTATGTAAATTTTTAATGATTTTTATTATTCAAACTTCCAGAAATGTATTGTCTATGTAGGCTTTAAGCCCGCCGCACACGAGAGCAAGTTGCTGAGCTAACCGCCTCGCGAGGCAGCTAGCTCAGCTATGTATTTTCACCGCACACGTTGGGAAAACTACTGAACAACAACACAATTGACAAAATCATTTGCATTTTCCTCCATTTTGTTCCAAGTCACATGAAGAAACCATGGTTTGTCATTGGCTAATTGATTCAAACAGCTCAGCACTTAGCTCACAACATCCGCAGACGCTGAGATTTTCTCCTCGCGAGGCGAAAAATATCAAACACGATAGATATTTTCCTCAAGGCCTCGAGAGGTCAAATCCTCACGAAAACTATCCGCACACGAGAGCTACTTGCTGAGCTAACCGCCTCGCGAGGCGGTTAGCTCAGCAAGTAGCTCTCGTGTGCGGCGGGCTTTATATTACCATAGCATGACCGGTTGCCTTGGCTAGCTTCGCCACTGATTACTGATTAAGCTAAAACACAAATTAATTGCTACAACCACAAGCAATATATGTACATCAACTCGTCAAATGAAAAACCTGACATTAGAGTAATAAGTACTAATTTTGATAATAGACAAATAGTTAATTTTGACATTAGTAACCAGCGTAAAAAGTTTCATAATAGGCTAGAATTCGGTTAAAACTGTAGAATTACTTCTCAATAAAAAATTCGTCTCATCTTATGAAAGCTAGTATTACCATCAAAATTGATTATATTTTTAGCTTATTTCAGTTCCTCAACAGATAATTTACGCTAGACTTGTATAATTTGTATTATTAGTTTGGCCTATAGGTATAAATTATTAAACATGGCATTCTTTTTCCTGTAGCGCTATAAAAAAAATACGGATTACGGACCTTAATTTGAAAATTAGCCGAACTTTTCATTACATGAGATTGCAAATGTTTCATTACATTACAAAGACAGTTTGGATGTATCGTTTATCGTTTCAGGAGAAGATATGTTAACGAAATATTGATATTTGTCTAGTTTTGAAGCATTTTTGTTTCGTAGCAAGTGTTGTTTGTTCAGATGTTGGTTCATAAACGCAACAATATAATAAAAACATGATAAAAGCGATTCTGTGTTCTCTCTGAGGGCCTGAGTTTTGATTGCTTGTTTCATGCCTATGATGTATAACTTTTGTACATGAACGTCGTATAATATCTATGGACGATTTGGAAACGTTAACTTCAAGACAACCTTAAGAACTAAATCGTCTGAAATACTTGGTCTACATTTGGTAAATAATTTTCAGTGAACTCGACATTTTAACTAATTTGGGAAGAGCGTTTGAAAATCAGGAAAGTTGGAAACACCATTGGCAACGGGTGAGCGCAACTGTGTCTGTGCAGACAACGTTTCAATCTACAAGTCACCGTGAAAGTGACGGGTTGGGATAAAGCACGGATCCGGAAGTACGGACACACGGAGTTGCGGACGCGGAAAACGTGATAAAACGCGGACAAAGGAATAAAACGCGTACGAAAGATAAGCTGCCGAAAGCACTCTCGGCTGTTGGTTAGACTTGGACCTGCGCTACACGAATCCTCGAGCTAAACATTAAAATCCTCAAATGCCTAACAACACCACTGCTCCATCAACAAACACATTCACACAAGATGCCATAATTACATGGAGCCTGGTCACAAATCCCTTATTCATAATCATACATCTAGCCTCTGCCGTAACCAACCTTATCTTACTTACAACGATGTTAAAAGACCCGCTCAAATGCTTTCGGTCGATTTCATCCTATCTCCTGTTCAATCTTATTTCAAACGGGTTTCTCCCCATGGTGTCCTACTGTTTATTTATAGTTACCCTAGCGACTGATGCAGTCTATTTGGGGCAGTACACTTTTATATTTGCATTTAATAACACTATCCTAGCGGTCTTATTGCTCTCCGTCGATCGCTACATTCTGGTCAACCGGCCCATTATGTACTCTGTTGTTATAACAAAATCTAGAGTAATATATGCAGTACTTTTCTCATGGATTTCAAGCTTGGCTTTGACATTTGGTGGTGTAGCACGAGTCTCTTACGTTATGTCGAAAATTGCTGTTTTTGCCTTACTGCCATTCATTTTAATAATGGTTCTCGCGATTATTGTGATTGATATTAAAACATGGAGAAGTATTTCCAGAGCACAAATCGAACTTCAAAGATTGGGGAGTGAATGTGGATCGGACACAAACAGCGCGAGTTATCAAGCAGAGAAGAAAAGAGTTCAGACCGAAAAACGTTTTGCAAAAGTCGTTGTGTTTTTACTGTTGAATGTGGTGGTGTTTATTTTGCCCCAAACTTTCGTGATTGGATCTAGAATGGTTAACGTGTGGTGCAATTCGTGTGTCAAAGGTTTGCAGCAGGAAAAAGCGAGTATATTTCAGATTTATTACTTTCCTTTGTTTTTCTTGACAACGCCATTGTTGTATTTGGTCTTTATACCGAAATATCGCAAGTCGCTTTCCGTGTTGGTGGATTGTTTCAAGATATCACGGCGCTGGGCGATTCCGCGATAGAGGCTTAAAACTTGGTTTCTATATTTTGTCGTGACAGTGATTATGATTATCCAGCTCACTTGGGGCTTTTTCAGTGACCGATTACATCAAGTATTAGGCTTACTTATATTACCTACTAAGCTTAGACTATTTATTTTTACAACACTTGTGATATTACTTTCCTAACCATGTCTATGTTTATCCTAACCCACCCTGTCAACTTTCCCTGTGGGAGGGAACCGGAGCGCCCCAAATGATGCCTGTTTTAAGACCGTTAGTTAAGCCATTTTGCTCTTATTACGCGTAATAAGGTAATAAGCATTGAAACTAGCTATGTAGGCAAAGTGACCAAGGTAATAGGGTATACCATGCCCACTATAACTAACCTATATCACACTTGCGGAGGTTTTCCAACATATTTTGTCATTTTCAAAAATTTTTAATGAAAAATTCTCGCGTTTTGTCTACAAGTTTAATCTAATAATTTATTCAAGGTCTATAAGCTAGTTATAAACCTCGGACGAACAAAGAAAACCGACGCAAGTGTGATATAAGTGTGCTTATTCTCTTGCATGCTTATTACCTTATTACCCTATTACCTTATTGCTTGCTTATGTGTGCTTATTCCCTTGCATGCTTATTACCTTATTACCTTATTACCTTATTGCTTGCTTATATGTGCTTATTCCCTTACATGCTTATTACCTTATTACCTTATTACCTTATTGCTTGCTTATGTGTGCTTATTCCCTTGCATGCTTATTACCTTATTACCTTGTTACCTTATTGCTTGCTTATATGTGCTTATTCCCTTACATGCTTATTACCTTATTACCTTGTTACCTTATTGCTTGCTTATGTGTGCTTATTCCC